CAACATAGCCGGGAGCTGTAACATGCCGCAGTGAGGAAATGTGTGCACATATGTGTGTGTTTTAAGTTTAATTAACGTGAAAGCAGCGGTTCGTGCGAGTCAGCGTTTAGCTCTTAGTGAAGCCGCTGGTGTTGTTGATAAGATTATTAATGAGCCATTAAACTGTGTGTCTGGAAACGTAAAAATAAGAGACAGGCTCACCTTAGGAGGGTGTAGCGTGTGGGGGGGTGGATAATGTGGAATGCGTGTGGAACCAAGACAGTGGGCCGCCCGTCTCAGGGGCAGATCAGCACTTCCTGTCTGGAGGAGAAAGCCAGCAGACACCAACAAACAGCCCACTAACAGACAGATAGGGTGAGAGAGAGAAACAAAGATTTTTACAAGAGTTACGCGTTTAAGTTTAAGCTAATACATAAGGATAGGGGTTTGTTCAAAGCAGTAATGATGTTTGCCTTAGCAAACAGCACTAATGTGAAAGATAAACAGATGGAGAGACAGAATTGAAAGGGGATGATGTCATTGTCTGTGTATGCGGTCAGCGTTTTGCTTAAACAAGTAACAGCTGTTACACCTGTCGCACGTGCACACACCTGAGTAGGCGGAGCTGCACAGGCATTTGTGTGCTGACTCTGAGACGCTTCATTCCTAATGTCTTTCTCTGGCTCTCACACTGAGAATGCATGTACAGTGGCCCCAAAATGTATTTGATCACTTTCGACACATTTAAAAATGTATGAATGTTACTGCATTAGATTAAGAATGTGCTGATATTAAAATTCTGGCTGATATGAAAATCTCATCGTATTTATAGGTTAACTTCTATAAGCTGGAAATAATTATAAAATATTAAAATAACTTATTTAAATATTTAAGGTAATGAATTAAATAACAATATTATTAAATAGTATTACATTTGTATGCTATTTTCACTGAATAAATAATTTTTTTTAAAAACTAGAATCAAATTTGTATTGTTTTAAATGCTGCAAGTGAATATAGACATTACAGCATTATAATGTACAGTATCAAAATGGATATATTAATGTGAAGATATGTTAAAAATGTCTTTATTACATTATTAATGGTTTTGAAAATTACTTTTTTAAGGGAGTGTTAGATGCCATTTTACCATTTTTTTGGGTGAACTATTAACTCTTCAACCCAATAAAGCCTACTGAATCATATTTGATAAGCAAATTTCAAATGCCTCTAAATTATTAACATGATCAAAACTTTTCTGAAAACTGTTGTACACAATCTACTACATCCCTTCTGTCGTTTGATTGATTATACTTTTAAAGGCCTTTTAGTTTAATTCTATGAAATGTCCATCTTCAGATTGCTTTTAAATCGTTACTGATTTTTATATGTAAGTATGAGCTCCAAATTCTCCTATATCATACTATATAAGTCATGAAGCCTGATATATTAAATATGATACTCAACAAAAGATTAGATTTATCTATTAAATTTTATTTAAAAAATTAGGACTATTATTTCATATGTCAGGCTATAATGTATATCGATAATTAATGTGTGAATGTGTTGAACTACAGCTGTGTTTTCTCCTCTAGGACAACTAATTTGAATTTGGGGTTGGTTAAAAGTAATTTAAAAATGGCTTAGAAAAGTAAAGTTAGCTCAGAGAACAGACCTAGTATCATTCATTTGCAGATGCCCCTTGGTTTGCACTTTTATTAAAAGATTTTTGAGCGCCCACATACTTTTTGGGGCTGCTGTATGTATTTGAGAGATGTTCTATAAAAACAGTTTTCACTATAGCTGGAAATAAACAGGTCATTTACTTGGCTTATGGGGGAGTTTGTTTGCGTGTATGTGTGTGTCTCGGACCTCCTGATTGTTTGTAGACTTTCTGGCATTCGTAGTTGCTATGGCAACCCCACGATGACGAACTGAGCTGTGCTGTATTCAGCGAGCGAGGAAGAGTGAGAGAGAGAGAGCAGGAAAAGAAGGAAAGAGAAGGAGAGAAACAGAGTGTTAAAAAGAGCTAGGTGTGAGGAAATCTAGCAGCATTCCTGCAGAGTGAGCAGAGATCTGCTGCCTGTGTGACTATATTTACATGCATTTGTATTTCTGAGTATACATTTGCATGCCTCTGCATTATATCTGTGTGTGTGAATGTGTCTTTTTGTTTTGTGCATTTTTGTGCGCATAGGCTTAGTTTGTTTTGTTGGTTATATGCTTAGTGTGAATTGTGAAATACAGTACATATATCTAGTAGTAGAGCATTTATTTTCAAAAATCGAGTTAAACTGTATGCATGTTCATAATATATATATTGCTTAAAAGTTTGGGGTCCGTAACTTTGGAAAGAAATGAATACTTTTATTCAGCAAAAACTAGGAATGCACAATATTATCGGAACATTATCGTAATCAGACGATAAAGGCTTAAAATGTAAACATCGGCATCGGCCGTTTTGAACTAAATTTATGCCGATATGCCTTGCCGATAAGACGGATAACTCACATTCAAAAATCCCATTAAATTGATCGAAAGTTTCAGTAAATGCTGTTCTTTTGAATTTTCTTTCTCATCAAAGATTCCATGTTTTCAACATGGATAATAATAAGAAACGTAACTAAATTTATGCCGATATGCCTTGCCGATAAGACGGATAACTCGCATTCAAAAATCCCATTAAATTGATCGAAAGTTTCAGTAAATGCTGTTCTTTTGAATTTTCTTTCTCATCAAAGATTCCATGTTTTCAACATGGATAATAATAAGAAACGTTTCTTGAGCAACAAATCAGCATATTAGAATGATTTCTGAAGAATCATGTGACACTGAAGACTGGAGTAATGGCTACTTTGCCATCACCGGAATAAATTACATTTTAAAATGTATACAAATATAAAAGTTATGTTTAAATTGTGTTAATATTTAACAATATTTTATCAATATTGATCAACATGATGAGCATAAAAGACTTCTTTCAAAAATATTATTGACTCCAAACTTGTGAATGGTAGCGTGTGTGTATATATATATTGGTTTTGAAATGTTAGCATTTAATTAACATGCAAACAACATCCTGTGCTTTAGCTGTTGGATGGTTTGCATGGTAAAACTCTCTTGGAAAAGTTACATCTTTAAATTCATCATTTCATTACATTCAGCACTCTGTCGTACTGTTCTTGAACAGAAAAACACGTCTTATGTAAACGCCCCCCTAAGAAAACAGTCAGCCTAGTTACACAGGACTTCTTTAAAAAAAAATATTAGTTGAATAGTCTTAGGCAGCCCAGCAGCTAGTTAAAACATGTTAGTTTTGCACTGCACATCTCTCAACTAAAAGCATGACGTGCTACAGTGGGGACATTCAGTAATTTTTACTGGAAGAAGTCTAGTTTTGTCGCATTGCTCGCAGAAACTTATGGTAGCGTGTACTATCTTGAGTGTTTATTTTATCATTCTAGCTATGTTAGAGTTTGTTTATGTTTAAGTGTGTATTATTAATTTTGTTTGTTTGTTTGTTATTCATAGCTTTTATTCTTTCACATTTTGATTTGCATTACTGTAGTTGGAATATTGTAACAGCAGTCATAGCTCTCGTATGTATGCTTGCACTTCCTCTTGAATTAATTTATAATGCTACTGCTTGACTCACATTTACCTCCAGATATTCCCATGTTATGGCATTTCCTTTTAGTATCTGCCAAATTCCACAATGTTTCTCACCTGCTCTATTACCCATAATCCATCATTAAACTGCACACCCCAGCCCACCTGTGGGGATCAGCTGTATCCTATTATCTTGCAGTCCTGTCTCTCCTCATATCCAGATCTTGACATTTCTCCTCACCTCTCAAAGTTGGAACAAACTCCTGCTTTTACGTGCATAAACTGAATTGTCTCTGATTCCGTTAAGTGGCATATCAATCGTATTAGAGTGTGAGTGTGTTTAGCTTCTGTTCTGCTCCACAGCTGTTTCTCATCAGCTCGCTAACATACCGAAGAATCCTGAAGCCACAGATACTGCCATGACAACCCCTGTAGAGCGCTTACCCTCCCCTACTCTCTCTCTCACTGTCACAGTCAGGCATGGTTGTAGATGAATACAGAATTACCAAAGTATTCAAACGCTTGCATAGCACAGGTGTATGAAATAAATAAAAGTGGTTAAGGGGTCATAATCATGAGGAAATTAAATTTTTATTGATATTTTAAGAGAATTGTACTGTTAACTTTCATGTGCTGTTTCAGGCTTTGCGTAGCACCTACAGGTTGCTGATCATTTCAGTCTGATCTTAAAGGGTTACTCCACCCCAAAATAAAAATTTTGTCATTAATCACTTACCCTCATGTCGTTCCAAACCCATAAAAGCTTCATTCGTTATCGGAACACAATTTAAGATATTTTGGATGAAAACCGGGAGGTTTGTGGCTGTCCCATTGACTGCCAAGTAAATAACACTGTCAATGTCCAGAAAAGTATGAAAGACATCTTCAAAATAGTCCATCTGCCATCTGTGGTTCAATCTGAATTTTATGAAGCGACGAGAATACTTTTTGTACACAAAGAAAACAAAAATAACGACTTTATTCAACAATTCGTCTCCTCCGCGTCACCGTAGCGCCATTTTGGAGAGTGTCCACTGAACGCAAACTGCGTATGCTGTTCTACTTGTATGTGTCAGCCGCACCACACGGATTCATTTTCTACATTTATTTACACTTTGATTTGAACGAAAACAGCGTATCCTTGTGGTGTGGCTGACGAAGACGAACGAAGCTTTTATGGGTTTGGAACAACATGGGGGTAAGTGATTAATGACAAAAAAAATTTTTGGGGGTGGAGTAACCCTTTAACAATTTGAGCTGCACATTTCGGTGTGGATTTTGTGAACCTATTGAAGCTTTTATATAATTTTCTGCCAAGTCTTATTTGCACATTACAGGCATTTGTTGCATTTAAATTTGCATCATGTTTTGGTTTTATTTCTCTTCTAAACTTATAAATCACTCTTTTTCAGACATTTACTGCGTGGTGCAATTCTCATCTACGAAAGGCAGGGACACAGATCGAAAACATTGAGGAGGATTTTAGAGATGGACTCAAACTTATGCTGCTCCTAGAGGTCATTTCAGGTCAGTGACCTCTAACCACAGTCCCACCTTGAACCCAGTCCACCCCTCTACATTTGGAAGCTTGTATCTTTTTTGATGATATAAAAATTAGTTACACAAAGATAGTTACACTAAGTGTATAATTTATAGCATTAGCAGCTAGAGAATTTCTTTCATATGTGAACAAAATAGACATTATATCTGAAATATACTTAAAAGAATTGAAAACAAGTTAAATTTAATTGAATCAAGAGGTTGTGGATCTAAACTAAATCAGGAAACTGATTTCGTCTCTCTAGTCATACAAATTTGAAAAAAAAATGTATATAAAAAATATACAAATATTTTTACAAAAGAGTACTTGCATTTAATTTTATTTACAGTACTTGTATATAAGTTAGTTGAAAACTGTCAGGAATAATACGTGATAAAAATATTTATGTACATGATTAAGTCTCCTGAGGGCAGAGTGTTGTGTGTGATGTAATATTATGTAATATTTAAACTGTTTTTCTTTGTAGGAGAACGCTTGGCCAAACCAGAGAGAGGAAAGATGAGAGTCCATAAGATCTCCAATGTGAATAAAGCTCTGGATTTCATTGCAAGCAAAGGAGTCAAACTGGTTTCTATTGGAGCAGAGGGTAGGCCCCTTCAGCAGTGACCTATATCCTGCAGGCTTCCAGGGTCATGAGTTCAGCGTTTCAGCATGTGGGATCAATGACTATCAGACGCTCTGCCTGTGTGTGATATGTGCTTGTATCTCATGTCATATGAAGCCCCTCCCCATTCCATACAGTTAAATAGGTTAGACATGCAGTTTATACCTGACATATATTAGACCAGTCTACAGTGTGTGTGTATTTTTGCTGTTCTCTCTCTTTAAAATCCAGAGCAGCATTCCAGGCAGATTAGCCATCTACCAAAGCCTTTGCCTTGGTTACATACTGTTACCATTTTGTGTGTGTGTGTGTAGCAGAGCCGGGATACATTTACACACACACACATACTGGGATGTGTGTGGAGGGAATTATGAGATTAGCCTAAGAAGAGGAAGAGGAAACATGCATGTTTACCTAGATATTTAAATGAGGACTTCCCATACACAGCTATGTTTAAAAAATAAAAAATAAATTAAAATAAAGCTTTTTACACATTTAGAAGTGAATGCAGACATTATTTAGTCTTTATTAACCATTTGTCCATTTGAGAATGTCTCCAAAACAGACCTTTTGTGCACATGTTCAGCAATTTTGTTTTGAAAGTATAACAAAAGTTTAGATGCTTTCTGATTCAGGTATGGCTTTAGTTTGTAAAATGATCTCATTGTTGAGCTGTTACAGTAAATGAGATGCTGGTGTGCATGTGTTTGTTCTGCTCAGAGATTGTTGATGGGAATGCTAAGATGACTCTGGGGATGATCTGGACCATTATCCTTCGCTTCGCCATCCAGGACATCTCAGTGGAGGGTATATATAAATATCACACACACACACACACACACACACAGGTTTACATTTGTGAAAAGTGGGGACATCCCATAGGCATAATGGTTTTTATACTGTACAGACCGTATATTCTATTGCCCTTTACCAACCCTACCCCTAAACCTACCCCTTACAGGAGACTTTGTGCTATTTCAGATTTTCAATACACTCCATTCTGTGTGATTTATAAGCGTTTTGAAAAGTGGGGACATGGGGTAATGTCCTGAAAAGTCACCTTCTCGTTGTAATACCTATGTCATACCTTTGTCATTATACAAATTTATATACACACACACACACACACACACGCGCACACACACACACTTTTTAGTTTATAAGTGATGCATTAGATCTTGAAGAAAAAAGGCAGTAGGCAGTTTATTTGTGTGTATTAAATATCATGAGAGTGAACAGAATGACTGACTGAATTAGCATAATTTTTTTTATACAGTTCTGCTCTTTTGGCTTTCTGAATATTCATTGTTTAATACAAACGTAATGTCATGAATTTGTGAGTCATTTAAATGACAATGTTTTCTTTCCACTCCTGAGATTCCATTTGAGATTCCATATGAGTGTGTGTGTGTGTGCAGAGACCTCAGCTAAAGAAGGCCTGCTGCTGTGGTGCCAGAGGAAAACAGCTCCCTACAAAAACGTCAACATTCAGAATTTCCACATCAGGTGAGCAGACAGGAAATGAGCATTAGAGAGAAGCAGGGTGAATGATGGGAAAAGAGCAAGACTGACAGAGATACTGCAACTGAACGCTGAGCTACAGCATCATATACTACATTTCTCTTTCTGTCTCTCTTCCTGTCAGTTGGAAGGATGGATTGGGCTTCTGTGCACTCATTCACAGACATCGTCCAGAACTCATTGATTACGGTAAACTGCGCAAGGTGAGGCATTACCAGAACCTCTGACCATATATAGAGACCAGCAGTATGAAAGACCATGACTCATGCTTTGATGTTTGCTCTCACTCAGGACGACCCAATGACTAATCTGAACACTGCCTTTGATGTCGCTGAAAAGTACCTGGACATCCCTAAGATGCTGGATGCAGAAGGTGAGACATGTAGAGGACAGGTTTCTTCCTGTTCCACTTCACTGTGAAACTAGGTTATACCTCTGTCCTCTGTCTAAATATAGAGCTGTAGGAGGACCGCAGGTATGTGTATAGGCTGAATTTCACCCCATCACTGCAGGCGTGATTGTGGATGTTTCCTTAAAGGATAGTTCACCCAAAAATTCTGTCATTAATTACTCACCCTCATGCCGTAATACCTTCGTTCATCTTCGGAACACAAATTAAGATATTTTTGATGGAATCTGAGAGCTGTCTGACCCTGCAGAGACCGCAATACAACTGAAATGTTCCCAAGTCCAGAGACGTAGCAAGGAGATCTGTAAAATAATCCATGTGACATCAGTTGTTCCGTAATTTTTATGAAGCTACGAGAATACATTTTGTGCGCAAAAGAAAAAAAAAGACTATTCAACAATTCGTCTCCTCCGCGTCACGCTGGTGCCATTATGGAGAATTTCCGCTGGACGTAAACTGCGTAAAATGCTGTTCTGTGTCAGCTGCATCACACGGACACGCTGTTTTTGTTCAAATCAAATCACAACAACGTAGGAAACAGATCCGGCGTGTCGCAGCTGACACAGAACAGCATCCAGCTGATACTCTCCAAAATGGCACCAGGGTGATGCGGAGGAGACGAATCGTTGAATAAAGTCTTTTTTTTTTTCTTTTGCACACAAAAATGATTCTCGTAGCTTCGTAAAAATTACGGTTGAACCCCTGATGTTACATGGATTATTTTACAGATCTCCTTGCTACGTCTCTGGACTTAGGAACATTTCAGTTGCGTTGCTGTCTGCAGGGTCCTACAGCTCTCAGATTCCATCAAAAATATTTAAATTTGTGTTCTGAAGATGAACGAAGGTCTTACGCGTTTGAAACGACATGATATCATGAGAGTGAACAGAATGACTGACTGAATTAGCATAATTTTTTTTATACAGTTCTGCTCTTTTGGCTTTCTGAATATTCATTGTTTAATACAAACGTAATGTCATGAATTTGTGAGTCATTTAAATGACAATGTTTTCTTTCCACTCCTGAGATTCCATTTGAGATTCCATATGAGTGTGTGTGTGTGTGTGCAGAGACCTCAGCTAAAGAAGGCCTGCTGCTGTGGTGCCAGAGGAAAACAGCTCCCTACAAAAACGTCAACATTCAGAATTTCCACATCAGGTGAGCAGACAGGAAATGAGCATTAGAGAGAAGCAGGGTGAATGATGGGAAAAGAGCAAGACTGACAGAGATACTGCAACTGAACGCTGAGCTACAGCATCATATACTACATTTCTCTTTCTGTCTCTCTTCCTGTCAGTTGGAAGGATGGATTGGGCTTCTGTGCACTCATTCACAGACATCGTCCAGAACTCATTGATTACGGTAAACTGCGCAAGGTGAGGCATTACCAGAACCTCTGACCATATATAGAGACCAGCAGTATGAAAGACCATGACTCATGCTTTGATGTTTGCTCTCACTCAGGACGACCCAATGACTAATCTGAACACTGCCTTTGATGTCGCTGAAAAGTACCTGGACATCCCTAAGATGCTGGATGCAGAAGGTGAGACATGTAGAGGACAGGTTTCTTCCTGTTCCACTTCACTGTGAAACTAGGTTATACCTCTGTCCTCTGTCTAAATATAGAGCTGTAGGAGGACCGCAGGTATGTGTATAGGCTGAATTTCACCCCATCACTGCAGGCGTGATTGTGGATGTTTCCTTAAAGGATAGTTCACCCAAAAATTCTGTCATTAATTACTCACCCTCATGCCGTAATACCTTCGTTCATCTTCGGAACACAAATTAAGATATTTTTGATGGAATCTGAGAGCTGTCTGACCCTGCAGAGACCGCAATACAACTGAAATGTTCCCAAGTCCAGAGACGTAGCAAGGAGATCTGTAAAATAATCCATGTGACATCAGTTGTTCCGTAATTTTTATGAAGCTACGAGAATACATTTTGTGCGCAAAAGAAAAAAAAAGACTATTCAACAATTCGTCTCCTCCGCGTCACGCTGGTGCCATTATGGAGAATTTCCGCTGGACGTAAACTGCGTAAAATGCTGTTCTGTGTCAGCTGCATCACACGGACACGCTGTTTTTGTTCAAATCAAATCACAACAACGTAGGAAACAGATCCGGCGTGTCGCAGCTGACACAGAACAGCATCCAGCTGATACTCTCCAAAATGGCACCAGGGTGATGCGGAGGAGACGAATCGTTGAATAAAGTCTTTTTTTTTTTCTTTTGCACACAAAAATGATTCTCGTAGCTTCGTAAAAATTACGGTTGAACCCCTGATGTTACATGGATTATTTTACAGATCTCCTTGCTACGTCTCTGGACTTAGGAACATTTCAGTTGCGTTGCTGTCTGCAGGGTCCTACAGCTCTCAGATTCCATCAAAAATATTTAAATTTGTGTTCTGAAGATGAACGAAGGTCTTACGCGTTTGAAACGACATGAGGGTGAGTAATTAATGACAGAATTTTCAATTTTGGGTGAACTAACCCTTTAACATAGCCTGTTCAAAGGGATTTTTAGGATAATAGGCTGTGCAGTCATGAGATTGTTGCAGTGTTGCACTGGATCGATGTTCCTCAAATTTTTCAATCCTAAGTATTAAGCTTCTGCAGTGAATTCAGCCCGAACCACTTGACGTACAGTGCATTTAAACTTTGTTTTACAGATAATTTCATTCTTTCATTTACATTGATAGAATGTTTAGCGTGCAAGATGGCAATGATGTTTTCATAATATTTGCATAATGAATTGAGATCTTTTTGCATACTGAACTGTCTTTTCTTTCTTGCAACTTTATATTTGAACATAAAGCCACTTTACACGGCAACGACAGTGTCAACATTATATATTTTTTTAGTTCACATAGATAGAAAACAATACACAAATTCACATTTTTACTGGCCCCAACACTAAAATTAATAAATTTTATTTTTACAGTGTAGCAGTCCCAGAAAGATTTATAATGTTGAATATTTTTGAATTTTATAGCATTTATACTAATATATTTATTATAATCCATTCTTAATATTTGTTTATTTATTATAATATATCATGTTCGTTAAAATATATCAATAAATGTTACATTTTCTTTTTAAAATGTAATTACATTTTTTATTTGTATGAGAGCTGGAAATGATACAGCTATAATGTATCTCCATAAGCTAGATCAGAGATGGGCACTCGAGTTAGTGACTCGGACTCGAGTCGCATTTTTATAGACTTCAGACTCAACCTGAAATGACTCCAGACTTGACTCGACTCGAGGAATATTTTAAAAGCAACTCGAGTCTTTTATCCTCAAAGGGGTCGTATGATGTTGCTAAAAAGAACATTATTTGGTGTATTTGGTGTAATGAAATGTGTTTATGCGATTTAAGGTAAAAAAACACACATTATTTTCCACATACTGCACATTATTATTTCTCCTCTATGCCCCGCCTTTCTGAAACGCGTCGATTTTTACAAAGCTCATCGGTCTGAAAAGCGAGATGTGCTCTGATTGGAGCTGTCTAGTGCGTTGTGATTGGCCGAATACCTCAAGCGTGTGACGGAAATGTTACGCCCCTACCATACTGTGATACCCTGTCCGGCCAGAGCGACGAGACAAAACCATTAAAACACATTATAAATGAGGCATTTGTTGCATGCAGTGGGGACATAATTACGGATTATAATGACTTATACTGTCTTTTTACTCGTTGCGTTGCATCGCACCTCGTAAACATAAAACCATGTCTGCATTTGTGATCGGAGAAATGACAAACAACAAGCGCTACTCTACACTCCTCAAAACTCGCGTTTGAATCATCAGTGGCAAATCCTTTAAATATGAAAATGTACTTACAGACTGTGAGTCAAAACAGCCGGCGTTGTAGTCTAATCTCCCAGGATCAGGAAACAGTCCTCCATAAAATGCGCAGCACACATCTGAATATTTGGGTTGAAGTGTTCTGGAACAGTGCTGTAAATACAACTTAACCACTGATTTCTAGTCGTGTCCTCTTTTGGAAGGCCAAACAAAGTAGTTTCGCTTTCGCAACGAAACACACAGAGTCTTCACAACATGGCGGCGGCGGTAGCAGCAACAATAAAGTTACACCTTCTTTCTTTGCGTGAACATTTGGGCGGCGTTATGCAAATCTTCCCACATAGTGACGTAGACGTGGAGGTGTGTTTAAATGAGGCGTTTTAGGAGGGCGTGGACGTGGAACTCTTAAGTCTTAACTTTTATAAAAATATCTCTTTGGGTTTGAGACTTTAGTCTTTGCAACTTTAGGGATCTTATCTATTCAAAGAAAAAGGAAAACTTGAAATCGCATCATATGACCCC